GTGCAGCAGCCCCAGCCCAGCCAGCCCGAGGTCTTCCCAGTAAGATGGGGCTTTTTAACCTCCCAAATCCGGTGGGATCCACGGGGCTGAGGCGCCTGGAGCTTGTTGTCCCTCTGGTTCAGATGAACTGGGGAGGTCCCAAACTTGGGGATAACCTGATGGAGGTGGAAGTGGAGAGGGCAGGACTTGGCTGTGTGTCTTGGTCTGTTGCAGGATCAGTGTGAAATTCCAGTTGGATTAACCCTTCTGGTTCTAATTAATAACAAAAGAAAAGCCCCAATCCAATAAAATTAAGATAATTCCTGAGAATTCCTTTCCCAGGAGTCACCGATTATCCCTTAAATTTGCTGCTCCTTAAATTTGCCCTGGACACAGACCCTGTGTTCCCTTGGGAAGAGGACCATCTTGGTCCTCAGTACCTGCTCCAGCAAACCCACAAGTAAATTGCCAACATGATCATGGAATCATGGAATTGTTGAGGTTGGAAAAGCCTCTGAGATCAAGTCGAGCTGTTCCCCCAGCAGTGCCAAGGCCACCACTAAACTGTGTCCCCAAGTGCCACAGCCACATATTTTTGGACAGTCCCAGGGGCAGCAACTCTCCCACATCCCTGGGCAGCCTGTTCCAATGCCTGGCCATGCTTTCCATGGAGAAATTGTCCCGAATTTCCAATCCAAACCTCCCGGGCACCACTTGAGGCTTGGTTTGGTGCCTGATATTCCCTGTTATTCCCGTGCAGATCCTGACTCTGTCCTTGTCTCCTCCTCTCAGGACATGCTGACCATGCTGGGAGACCAAGGGCCCAACTACAACAACGAAGAATTCCCAGAGTTGAACATATTCCCTTCTTTTTCCGAGTAAAACAAGCCTTAGGGGAGACACCATAAAGCTCTACGATACCCACGTGTAAAGGAAAACAGCCGAGTCTTTCTCTCCAAGAACTGTCCAAACTCTTCCCACCCTCTGGAAGGGGAGCTCCGAGGATGGGTGGCCGTGGAGGAGGAGGAGGAGGAGGATGGTGTGGTTTGGACACCTCCTCCCTGTGGGATTGTTCTGGAAGCTCCAGGACCTGAGTGCCACGAGACCGAAGGCCCCCGTGTTCCCGGAGCCGCTCCCAAGTGGATTTCCGTGGGAGGGATTCCTGGCTGGATCTCAGACAGCCCTTCCACGCTTTTTAAGGTGGCTGTGACTGGTTTTTATTTCATTCTCTACCGTGACTTTTTTTTTTTCTATCAGACACAAAACTCTTGAGATTTTTTTTAAGTATTTGGGAGAAGCTCTTCCAAGCGTTCTCCCTGTCAATACAATCCTGGAGGATGCTTGAGTAAGAATCCCTGTCCTGAGCCGGTGTTTTCCTCCTTTTTGGAGGGATTTTGGCTGGTCTTGGAGGGTTGTTACCACGTCTCCAGCCCAGGGTGCTCCACGTGGAGATTCCCACGTTTGTTTGGAATCTTCCCTCTCCTGTGAAACTGTGCAATGAAGTCAGTGTGACCCACAACCCCCCTCCCCACCCCGTTATCCCGGGATAATTAACGAGCCATAAAAATATTATCCATGTAGCTTTCTTCTGGATGCATCAATTTTTCCAGCTGGTGGGTTTCTGTGCTGCCACAAATTGATGTTTCAACAGGTGTTTTTTGGGGGAAGAAACCTGCCCCACGCTGTCCATGGAATTTTATCCCATGGAGAGGAGTTCCCTCTTGTCGTCTGGACGTAGGAGAATCCCTGGATTTCATCAGGGAATTGCTGAGGAACTGTGTATTCTCACTACCTTTGCTCACTCACCGTCTCCTTAAGGAAGAATTCCTGCCATGGGATGATCCTGTTGCCAAACCACAAACTGTAAGAGGAGAGCTGGAAAAGTAGGGAACAGAGGTTGATTTTTTTTTTTTTTATATATATATATATAAATATATATAAAATTTTTAATTTTTAAACCTTGACTTGGAATCTTCTGGCTTTTTCTGTGGAAAAAAAAAAAACAACCAAACAACAAACCAACTTGTGACCAATCCTGCTCTCCTCAGGGGCTGGAAGAACAGTTTGATTCCCTCTTGCTTCAATTCCAGCAGGAAAATTCATTGCTGAGTTGGACTTGGAAGGAAACTTGGCACAAACAGCAGCGCAGGGGAAGAATCCCAAGTTTTCCTGGAAGCCTGGTTTTGTTTTAAATGGAATGGGGGTGTCTCTCCCTTTTCCCTGCATGTTGGGAGGGGGGCTCTGGGGACCCCCAGGGTGGTTGTGAGTGTCCCCTCTCTGCTGGTTTGGGGCAGGGAAGGGGGAGATTCCACCCCCACAAGAGCTGATTCCAGAGCTGTAATTCCTGGATAACATCCACGTAGGGAAGTGTGAAACCTTTTTGTGTCACCAGCCCAGAGATTCCTCCTGTGAGTGGAGCAGGAAGCTTTGCTTTTCCCCTCTCCTTTTGTTGGAAAAGTAAGATTTGAAAGCTTTAGGTTTATTTTTTTTGGTTTTTTTTGTTTTTCGGGGGTTTTTTATTCCAAATTTCTCTATGGAAA